CAGTAGATTTCTGTTACCACTGTATGAGAAAACGTATCGATACACTGTTCTACCACCAATGTCTAAAATCCTGTCAGCCATTCTTTGCGTAGGATGGTTAAATACAAAATCTGATGCGAAATCTGTAATTTTATCAGCTACATTTTTATTGGCTGCCTCATCCCCGATATAAAAGTGTCTTACGTCATTTACAGCATCCTCCCAATCGTCTTCCAAATCAAAAGCATTTGATAGCAAGCTAAAGTCATAGTTTGCGAAAAAATCTGAATCAGCTAATCCATATTGGAACGGTAGTTCGTTGTTTGTGTGACCAATAATCACAGGAGTGTTGCGGACTTTAGGGGTATTAATGTACATTGGATGATCAGTTATAAAAGACTCTACGCCATCAATTTCCTTCTCTATACATGGCAGGGTACCAGGGTTTTTAGTTCCAGTAGAATCAGTTATTTTCAAATCATGAGCAACTTTAATCAGTGTATGAACATCTACAGATGCAAGATACTCTAAAGCTTCAAGTGTATCTTCAGTTTCAAAATCTAAGGAATTAGCCAATTTAATTGGTATTGTTTTATCCGATTCCACAATCAACCATGGACTTGAAGCAGGGCCACTTTGGATTATAGCTTTTTGGAACAATCGCTCATATGAAGATAGCAAATGAAGGTTCACAGACATTCCACCGGCACTTTCACCAAATACGGTTATTTGTGAAACGTCGCCTCCAAATGCTTCAATGTTCTCATTGATCCACCTCAGAGCTAGGACTTGATCTTTAAGTCCTTGATTTCCTGGTACTTCTGGGATGTCCAGACACATGAAACCGTAGGCACCGAGTCTGTAATTTATTGCTACTACAATGACGTCATTCCTCAATAAAAAGTTAGGGTTTCCTTCAGTTTGAGCACTACCAGTGACGAAAGCTCCTCCGTGAATCCATACCATTACTGGTAAGCGGTTTTGAGTGGTAGCAGCACTTGGCACATAGATGTTCATGGTGAGGCAATCGATGGTTCCAATCGCCACATCATTGGATACTTGAGGACATACATTTGACTCGTATGCTTCAAAGATGTCATCGAAACCTGGATGTGGAACTGATGGCTGTAAACCAAAATATGTTTTTTGTTGTTTTTCCAAATCAACTTAAAGTTATTTTTATCGTACAACTTTACACAAGAACTTACCCCAAAAGGATTGTTTTTATCCACCACCGCATAAGGAACACCCAGAAACTGGGCGTATCTCTCATTAAAGCGAAGACCTCGAATAAGGCCCTTGTTTGTAGACACGAGAGGGTCCACTCGATATAATCCTTGGACCAGACCACATAATAACGCCAGTAGCCCCACTATCCACATGTCTAAGGCTTGCAACATAACTGTGGCAACTGAGAAGAATTATCACTATCAACTTAAAGATAGGAAGATTTTGAGATAAAAAAACATGTTACTCACACTTATCTTAAAACTATTGATAAATAGTGAAGTGTCGACTAATAATAACCTCAAGGTAACGGATGCAACCGAAATTCCCAGAAAAGTACCAACAGCACCCAGTTTTGTCTGTTTATTTAAAAAAGAAAACGGGGTGATCGAAATAGTTTATGTTTTACAGATACTTTATTTAAATTATAATCTTATTACAGCTTAGTAAATGCAATAGAAATAAATATTTGTTTCTGTTGCGAACACTTCTTATTTTTTAGAAACTTCATATTTATGCTGATTTTTGTACAGTTTATAGAAGAGATCCCAGAACGCCATCCTGTCGTGGAACGGTCTGGCTTCCAGGGTGAGGTCTGAGTCGAGGTTCAAATAAGGCTGGCTGGTCTTCGTGATAGGCTGCCACTTCACTGGAAGCAGCTCCGACGTAGATGGTGTTGGATCCCTGAAGATGATAAGACATGACTAGTTACAAATGTGAATACCTATACGAAATTCAAGAGATTTAAGAGATATCTATCATAAGTAAACAACAATATGTTATCAGAGAACGTGAAAAGTGATATCATCAAGATGGGTAGCCAAGTCACAGTTGTGCAATCTAAAAATAACCATGATGTCGAAATCACGGTTTCTTGAACAATCATTACTTTTCCATAACACCACTTATTTACATTTTGTAGTATGGGATATAGTCAAAGACGACTGTTGAAACGTTGAGTTCACGCTACATGTTTACTCTTAATTGTTAACACAGCTTCCAAATCATCAAATCAAAACAGGAAAGTAAGGATATCAAGTAAGCATAAGGCTTCAGGTAAGGATAAGTCTATCTATTATCCACATACATTTAAAATAATTAGGCATTCTTTTGTTAATGTGTCCAGTCAAATAAATAAATAAATGTATATTAAAAATAAAATGGTAAACTGCTACGTACCCATACTTAACGAAGTTGATCCAAAGCGTTGTTATTCTATCTATCATTAGCTGGTCTTCAGGAGCAATGTCTTTGCTAAGAATTTCATGATCGAACAAATATCCAAGCTCATCCGCGTGGGTAGCACCCGTGGTATTCAAGTTATATAGAATTTTTAACAAGTTTCTACCACCACTGTATGAGAAAACATATCGGTAAATTGTTCTAGCGCCAATGTCTAAGAGTCTGTCCGCTATTCTTTGCGTCGGGTGGTTAAAAAGGAAGTCTGAAGCAAAATCAGTAATTTCATTTGCTACATTTTCATTAAGCTGCTCATCTCCGATATAGAAGTGCTTTACATCATTGATAGCATCCTCCCATTCATTTCCTAAATTGAAAGCGTTAGAAATGAAACTAAAATCATAGTTCGAGAAAAATTCCGGGTCAGCAAGTTCATACAGGAAAGGTAGTTCGTTGTTTGTGTGTCCAATAATGATTGGGGTGTTACGGACTTTAGGGGAATTTAATATGTTCATTGGATATTCGGTTATAAACGCTTCGATGCCTTCGATTTCCTTCTCAATACAGGGCAGAGTACTGGGAATGTTACTTTCAGTGAAGCTCGTTATATCTAAATCGTGAGCCAGCTTAACCAATGTATGAACATCTACAGTTGCTAGATACTCCAAAGCTTCAAGTGTATCTTCAGTTTTAAAATCTAAGGCTTCAGCCAATTTCATTGGTACTGTCTTATTTGAATCCATTATTAACCAAGGACTCGAAGCTGGCCCACTCTGGATTATGGCTCTTTGGAACAAAGTCTCATAAGAAGACAGCAGATGTAAGTTTACGGACATTCCACCAGCACTTTCACCGAATATAGTAATTTGTCCAGCATCACCCCCGAAAGCTTCAATGTTCTCATTGATCCACCTAAGAGCTAATGCTTGATCTTTAAGGCCTTGATTGCCTGGTACTTCTGGGATGTCCAAGCACATGAAACCGTAAGCGCCAAGTCTATAATTTATAGATACTACGATGACATCATGTTTCAATAAAAGTCTAGGACTTCCTTCGGCTTCAGCGCTGCCAATAACGAAAGCTCCTCCGTGTATCCATACCATCACTGGTAAGCGGTTTTGAGTAGTGGCAGCACTTGGTACATAGATGTTCATGGTGAGGCAATCAATGGTTCCAATTGCTTCATTGTTAGATATCTGAGAGCACACGTTTGTCTCGTATGCTTCGAAGATATCATCAAAGCCTGGGTGCGGGTTTGAAGGCTGCAAATACAAATACATGAAATTATGTTATGTAAGTGATGTTAAATTATTTGAAAAGTTTTATAAGTAATTGTGAACTGGTTAAAATATTCTCAGCGTAAACATGGAAGAAAGTTGTCATGGATACACTAAAAACGGTATTCTATTGTCTTTATTCATATCGTATTGATGTTTCTATTAAAAAAAATGAAAAAGTTTTTATAAATATAAATACTGAAACAACATACCCCAAAAGGATTATTTTTATCCACGACTGCATAAGGAACACCCAAAAACTTGGCGTACCCCTCATCAGATCGAAGACCTCGTATAAGGCCCTTGTTTGTAGACACGAGGGGGTCCACCCGATATAACCCTTGGACCAGGCCACATAATAACACCAACAGCACCACCGACCACATGTCTAGGCGTTGCAACATGATAGCAGTGACTGAGATGACTTATCAAGTAATTTTGAAGATAGTAAGACTTGAGATAAAATAACATCTTACTAACATCAATATCTGAAGGTTATCGATAAGCAGTGATATAATGAAGCAATAGTCAATAATAATACTAGCATCATATGACCATCTTTGGGTCATTCTGTAAAGATTTATAAGTCTTTGAGATTCTTTATGCTTCGGGTCTGGGGTTCTGCAACACAAATTAGTAAAAGGTTTGTCTATCGGTGAAATATAAATAAAATTAGAAGTTCAATAAGAAGTTAAACAGCTAAGAAATGGAACTCCATCTTTCCCGACAAACATGGCTTGGGTGTCTTTAACCCATTGTGTGTCTAAACGTGGCTCCACGCGAGACGCAATGGTTTTTCTATTGTGTCTTATATACGGGCATTCAATGGTTAAATCCCGAGTGAACAGGTTGCTCATAGCCGTGTTCCATCGTCGGCCACATCATCGAGGCCACCAGGCGAGATGATGGATAAACATTCTTAGTTACTATTATAAAATGGCAAGTGATGATTGTGTCGCGGAGAACCTAACGGGTTACCGGGGCTCCGGCTCGACGTGCAGGAGAAGGAACGAGGTGGTTTTTAGTCAGTAAGAGTTTGACACTCCCTCCCGCCTCACCCAGGCGGAAGCAGTCATTAGATGATTTTCCCCCCTTAAAAAAAGTGATGATTGTGGTATGTATAAAAACACAATTTATAAAAACACAATTTATTTAATTTTAAACTATATTTAGACAAATATGGTCAGTACCATCTTGGATTACATAAAAACTAATAAAAAACATACATTAGACAACTACACAACAACAATTTTGGTTTTAATTGTAACTACTAAATTTAAAAAAAAAATACAATCTTAAACTACTGAACCTGTTTTCAGAAAAAAAAACTAAACATTTGAATTTCTAAAATCTTCCCTCTGGTGCTAATTTACATAAACTTTGTAGAATAAATCCCAGAAAGCCATCCTGTTGTGGAATGGTCTACTTTCAAGGCTGAGATCAGAATCCAAATTCAAGTAGGGATGAGTAGTCCTCGTAATAGGTTCCCATTTGATGGGGAGTAATCCTGACGTTGATGGCGTTGGATCTCTGGTAAAGAAACAAATTAATAAACATTAGATACATTTTCCGAAGGGGTATTATATCCCACAATTTTATTTTAACTCTTTGTCCTATCTATGTATTGTATGCTAATATTAAGAACATAGCAAATCTTAAAGTATTTCGACTGCATAATCGAGATAAATTCTATAAAGTCTACTTTTGCGAAGCTGTACTTTGAGTACAAGGACTTCGAACCATGATATCGTTCAATAACACAATAAGACAATGGTTTGTTTTGAAATCATTTTATCATTATCTATCTTCTAGAACATAATATACTGATCATTCATACTATCGATAGCACAATCTCACTGAATCCTACAAGTCAATGTTTAAACCCTCTGATATGATTCTCCATTATTTTGATTTGAGTACTTTTTTCGCATTATTTCGCAATATATTTTAATATATATCTGGGGCGGTCTTTAGTACAATCAGAGTTACAAAATATTGCAAATGTCCTTTAACAATCCTTACTATAATAATAATAATAATATAATAATATAATAATAATAATAATAATAATAATAATAATAAAGCCCGCAGGGCACCTTGAGGCGAGGTGACGGGCATTAGCGATCCCGCGGGCTACCATCATCCCGAGTGCTCCAGGGAGAAGTCACCGTTCTTTCTCCGGCTTGCCTTAATTGGCTGGCTGGAGTGAACGATGACAAGGAACAGGTCTCCCACCTCTGGCTTGCCTTCATTGGCCGTCCAGAGTGGAGTCGCGAGAGCAGTGATCCTGCTCGGAGGGTAAGAAACTATTCGTAAGTCGCGAGTGGGCCAGGGATGCAGGAAGCTTCGGCTGGAGCAGATGATCTGAGTAGAAAGCGGTGGTAGTTTCTTAACCCTTCAGCCACTCACATTCTCGTTGCCCCTCTGTTGCTATATCTAGCAGCCATTCCCGGGGCCCGGTCGGTGAGTTGGCGAGTCTCCGCCTGCCATTTTTACGTGTAATAATTACATTGTTTCGGCAGGTGCCATAGTCATCCATAGTTCCCAATTTTCCAGTCCACAGCAACCCATCCATAGCCCTATCTTTTTTTTTTCCATTATCCTCAATAGTTTTACACTAACCGGAGACTGTCCTTGGGTGCATTTCCATAGTGCATACAGGGATAGTCGCCGGTTTGTGTGTCCATTACATTTAGATTAAAGTTGTCTAAAGGGCCTCTGCGCAGTTGGCTTCGGCCCCTCGTACGCCTCCCAAATGACCGGGACCCTGTGGTCCCGTGAATGGTAAAGACATACAATAATAATAATATAATAATAATAATAATATAATAATATAATAATAATATTATAAATCTGAAAGTGAGTTTGTTTGTTTGTTTGTTTGTTCCACCTTCACGCCGTAACTACTAAACCGATTGCTTTGAAATTTTGCAGACGTAAAGTTAGAAGTCCAGATTAAATAATAGGGTACTTTTTATCCCGGAAAAATGTGATATTCCCGAGGGAAAACAAAAATATTAGTATAGATGGCGCTGTGTGTATTCCTGTAGATGGCGCTTTGTGCCGTATAAAACAATTCAACGAATTACCTACTAATTGGAAATTTCACGCTTTAATCTATAGCGCTTATTTGGTGTTAATCTACACTTATTCAGTGCGCTTTTCGACTCATTAATTGCTATTTTTATGTAAAAATACTTAAAAAACACAACGTGGTAACGTTGTGTAGTAGTTACGCTACTTGGCGATAGATGGCGCTGAGTGTTTATAAAACGGGGTAGCGTTGTGATTTTAAAGTACTTTTATCGTACTTTTTAAATTTTGGTTCCTACCATTTTACATTGAATTGTGTATTTTATAGATTTTAGGTTGTTAAAGGTACATGAAATTGGTGTCTATGTAGTAGTTACGCTATTTTTTAAGTATTTTTCGCTTTTAAATTTTGGTTCTAACCATTTTACATTAAATTGCGTATTTTATAGATTTTAGGTTGTTAAAGGTACACAAAATTGGTGACTATGTAGTAGTTACGCTACTTGGCGATAGATGGCGCTGAGTGTTTATTATTATATATTAAACAGAGTAACGTTGTTTTTTTAGTATTTTTATCGGTTTTAAATTTTGATTCCTACCATTTTACATTGAATTGGGTATTTTATAGATTTTAGGTTGTTAAAGGTACACGAAATTGGTGTCTATGTGGTAGTTACGCTACTTGGCGATAGATGGCGCTGAGTGTTTATAAAACGGAATAGCGTTGTTTTTTAAGTATTCTTCGCTTTTAAATTTTGGTTCCAACCATTTTACATTAAGTTGCGTATTTTATAGATTTTAGATTGTTAAAGGTACACGAAACCATAGTGGCAACAATACTCAACAATTAGCAAATATATTGTACGCTGTTGTTTCAACGCTCGATAGATGGCGTTAGGATCGAGTTAGATGGCGCTATGGTTTCGTTACCGGCGAAAGTATAGGTTCCGGCCTTCCGTATCAACTATATTTTAGGGTACGCATCTAGCGTTTAAATTGATTATTATTTGTTCGATTTGTAGGTTTGATTAGTCAAGTCTTATTTTTTCTAGGTAGATATTTAAAGTACTATAGTAAATTTTTTTCGTCGTTCTAAGACGCTTTGTTCATTGTTTACGTTGATTGATACTGTAGCTATATTAGTTAGGATAGATTAGTGAAGTGGTTTATTTCTAAGTAGATGTCTAAAGTAGTTAGGTTTTCGATAATAAAACTTATAATATAGTTTACCACTCAGTTTTGGTTTAGCATTGCAAATATAACCCTTATAGGAAATAGAAGTCTTTTAAATTAAAATGGGAGGAGGTATTTGTGGTAATGCGAAAATAACTTCTTCTGTTCTTTCACGCGGCTGAATCGATTTTGGTATAAAGGTAGTTTGAGTCCTGGAAAAGCAAGGCTTTACCGCGGCAGAACTTCTCATTCCCACGGAAAAATCTAAAACGCGCGTTATAACCGAATTCCACGCAAGCGAATAGCTGTTTGTTTGTTTGCCTGTCTTAAACGGCAAAACGGAGGTACTTAACGTGATTTTTCAACTGAAGGTAGTTGAAGGGATGGGTAGTCACATAGGCTACGTTTTATCTTTTTGTGACGCGAGCGAAGCCGCGGGTAAAAGCTAGTAAGATATAATTTTTGTTAAAAAAAAACATAAAAATCATCTTACCCATACTTAGCGAAGTTAGTCCACATTGTTGTCATTCTATCAATCATAAGTTGATCTTCAGGAGCAATATCACCAGCAAGTTCACCACTATCAAACAAATATCCCAATTCATCAGCATGCACAGCTCCAGTGCCATTCAAATTCAATCTTATCTTTATAACGTTTCTACCACCACTGTAGGAGAAAACATATCTGTACACAGACTTGGCCCCAAGTTCCAAAAGCCTTTTAGCCATTCTTTCTGTAGGATGGTTAAACAAAACATCTGAAGCAAAGTTTGTTATTTCATCTTTGACTTTTTCACTAGTGTCTTCATCACCAATGTAGAAATGTCTGATATCTTCTACAGCTTCATCGAATTTTCCTCCTAAATCAGTAGCTGTGTTTAACACAGTAAAATCAAAGTTCCTAAAGAACTCATCATCGGCAGTTCCATATCCCATAAACAGTTCATTGCTAGTCACACCAAGTATCACTGGAACATTTTTGAGTTTAGTCGATTCTATGTTCATAGTATATTCTGTCAAAAAATGTTCAACACCTTCCATTTTCTTTTCAACACATGGTACAGTTGAAGGACTGTCTTCTAGACTCATAAAAAATGTTAATTTTAAATCATGAGCTAATTTGACTAATGTGTGAACTTCTATTGTTGAAAGGAAAGCTATGGCCTCAGATACATCATCGGTGGGAAAGTTTAATGCTTTAGCTAACTTTATAGGCACACTGTTATCAGTTTCTTTCATTACCCATGGACTTACTGCTGGACCACTCTGAATAATTGCTTTTTGAAATAAAGGTTCGTAAGACGACAATAAATGTAAATTCACTGACATGCCACCAGCACTTTCCCCGAACACAGTTATTTGAGTAACGTCTCCTCCAAAAGCGTCGATGTTATCGTTGATCCATCTCAGAGCTAATACTTGGTCTTTAAGTCCTTGATTTCCAGAAACTTCTGGAATATCTAAACACATGAAGCCGTAAGCGCCAAGCCTGTAGTTGATTGTTACTACAATGACGTCTTTCCTTAGTAAGTAGTCTGGGATGCGGACAGCATCCCCACTACCAACAATAAAGTAACCTCCATGTATCCATACCATCACTGGCAAGCGGTTTTTAGAGGTAGCGGCACTTGGCACATAGATGTTCAAGGTAAGACAGTCTATGGTTCCAACCACAGTATTGTAGGATACTTGAGGGCATACGTTTGATTTGTACGCTTCATAGATGTCGTTGAAACCTGGGTGTGGGTTTGCCGGCTGCAAAGAAGCAGACTCTATGTAAATAAATATATCCACTGACTTATGTCTGTCTTTCTCAGACCGAAATCAGTACTTATTTATAAACAAATCTTAGCTTTAGTAACAAACATTTGGTATGAAACTAAGTCAATAAATCAGTCTTACCCCAAAAGGATTGCTTTTATTCACTTCTGCATAAGGCACACCAAGAAATTGTGCGTACCCGCTATCAGTTAGAAGTCCACGAATAAGACCACTTTTAGTTGACACAAGAGGGTCCACCCGGGATAGTCCTTGGACCAACCCACAAAACGATATCAACAATATAACTGACCACATGTCTTACTCTTGTGACCAATCAACCGTGACTAAGATAAATTTCTCTTGACACTTGCTACATATGAGATTAAAGATAAAACTATAGATATCATTGATAATAATGATGTAAATGAGTCTGTAACATTCATGAATGTTCTGAAACAACGCTTATGTTGTCTTTCGTCATGTGAATGAGGTTACCGGAGGCCCAATTACCCGCCCCCTAATCTTTCCAATCTCTGAATCTCCCAACAATCCTCAAATTCCTAATTTCCAAAAAAGTAACATACTTGTATCGCCTCTGGTGTTCCAGGTATCCTTAGGCAGCGCCAATTGCTTACCATCAGGTCACCCATCTACTCGTTTACCGACATATCTCAAAAGAAAAGTACACATAACTACCTAAATAAAAACACATTTTGAAAAAAAACCCTTTATTTAAATAATTTTAAAATAACAAAAAAAAAAAATTAAGAACAATTCTTGATCACATTATTTACTTTTTATAGTATGCACTATCACTTTCCGAAGACTTCTTTCTGCGTTCATTTCCGTACAATTTATGGAATATATCCCAGAAAGCCATTCTGTCATGGAAGGGTCTGCCTTCGAGTGTAAGTTCTGAGTCTAGATTGAGATAACGCTGGGTTGTCTTCGTTATTGGTGCCCATTTTACTGGGAGTAGGTCTGAAGTCGTTGGGGTTGGGTCCCTGAAAACAACAGATATAATAATAAGGTATATATTAAAATATCTAGACTTAGATCACGAGATTGGTCGCCATGTGGAGTGTGGATTCAGCTATCATTGTGTTGATACTCGTGTCGGCCAATGGGTTAATCCTTAAAAGTCTCGACATTCACGTTAGGCGGATGAATCAAGGGCCTGATACAGAAGGCAGTTCTCCTTGAAACGGCGCGCATCGTGCGGAGGTTTCTGTCTCTGGAGCCCTAACCACCGGTAGCTTGAACCATGCACCCGCTACTGGTCAGCTCCTACTTTTGTATTTTTTTTTGTCAGTAGGTATTATTTTAAAATGTTAATTTACCTCTAGATAGTTTTAACACGTTTGGCGTAGTGCTTGAATGACTAACTGTTAAGTACGATTTCTGCACGACAGATTTTTCTTTTCATTCATGATGTGTGTCTACGGGTCAGAATGTGATGTGTGTTTATGTGCAATTGTGTGTTTCTAAATTGTGCATTTACAACAGAAGAAAAATCTTTGTAGAGCAACATTTTTTAAAAACGTATTTATGTATTTTCAGTAATAGAATGGAAGTTGTAAAGAACCTAATGCACGTTACACAGCTTACGATTAAACACATAGTTTAGCTAAAGGTATGGGTGTATAAACAAAATTTAAATTGTAAGGCGTAGATAAGACATTATGAAAAAAGTGGTTAATGATTACAATTCATAATAAAATGTCGTGGTGACCCAGAGGTTAAGACGCCCACTTCTCATTCATGAGAATGCGGGTTGAAAACCTACCAACGGCAAGTCCCAATGTGAACCAATAAAATAAGAATAGTCTTACCCGTATTTGGCGAAGTTAGTCCACATCATAGTCATTCTTTCAATCATAAGCTGATCTCTAGGATTGTTATCACCATTGAGTTCGTCACTATCGAACAAATATCCAAGTTCATCAGCGTGCACAGCTCCAGTATTATTTAGTTTCAGCCTCAACTTCATTATATTCCTGTCGCCACTATATGAGAAAATATATCTAAAAACAGATTTAGCACCAAGTTTCAACAGTTTTTCTGCCATTTTTTCTGTTGGATAATTAAATAAGACATCTGAAGAGAAATTTTGTATTTCATCTTTAACTTTGTCTCCAGTGTCTTCATCTCCGATATAGAAATGCCTAATATCTCCTATTGCTTCCACTAATTTTTCTTTTAAATCAATTACAGAGTTTATTATATTAAAATCATAATGCATAAAGAAGTCTCTTCTAGCATTGACGTAACCCATAGCCATTTCGTTACTATTTACACCTATTATGACTGGTATATTTCTAAGTTGAGACGTTTCTATATTCAGAGTATGTGCTGTTATAAAATGTTCGACGCCTTCCATTTTATTCTCAATGCATGGCAAAGTGGCAGGACTGTCTTCTAGAGTCACGTAGGAAGTCAACTTCAAATCGTAAGCCATCTTGACGAGTGTACTAGGTTGCACGGTTGCTAGGAAATTTATAGCTTCAGTTATATCATCCGTAGCAAAATCTAATGCTTTAGCCAGTTTTATGGGCACAGTATTATCAGATTCTTGCATTACCCAAGGGCTGACTGCGGGACCACTCTGAATAATTGCTCTTTGAAAAAGAGTTTCGTAAGACGACAGTAAATGAAGATTCACTGATATTCCACCAGCACTTTCTCCAAATATAGTGATTTTTCTAGGGTCTCCTCCGAAAGCATCAATGTTCTCATTGATCCACCTCAAAGCTAATACTTGGTCTCTAAGTCCTTGGTTGCCAGATACTTCTGGAATATCCAGACACATGAAGCCATAAATTCCAAGTCTGTAGTTAATTGATATTACGATGACATCATCTACCAATAAATATTCAGGGATGCCAATGGAATCGCCACTGCCGATCACAAAATAGCCTCCGTGTATCCATACCATTACTGGCAAGCTGTTTTGAGAAGTGGCAGCGTCTGGTACGTAAATGTTTAAAGTGAGACAGTTAATGGTTCCAACTGAGACGTTGTTGGATACTTGCGGACACATATTTGACTCATACGCTTTAAAGACATTGTCGAAGCCTGGGTGCGGAAAAGCCGGCTGCAAAAAAACATATAAATAAATAGTAATATATACTTGAGTTTAAAGGAAACATTTATAGGGAAACATTATAATGTTTGCTTTTAGTAACGTAACACAAATGAAGGCTTTCTTAAATTTTTATCACGCTCATACCTAATTAACTTGAACTTTTCTGTATAGCACACAAAATATTCTTACCCCAAACGGATTAGATTTATCCACTTCTGCGTAGGGTATGCCGAGAAACTGTGCATACCCCCCATTGATGCGAAGTCCACGAATTAGGCCGCTTCTTGTTGAAACAAGAGGATCCATCCGGGAAAGTCCTTGGGCCAACTCACTTATAGATATCAATAACACTATGGACCACATGTCTTAATCTTGTGACTTATTTTCCTTAACTGAGATCTGACCTGTTACTCGGAACTCGACAGATATGATACTAAAGATAAAACCAGAGATCCCTCTGATAAAATAGGTATGGACAGTCACTGCTTAATTATGAGACAAATAAGAATAAACATTTTGTGGCTAAAAATTTTATTTAAATAATTGTATTATAATACACAATAAACAATGACCCATGATTATACATATTTTTAGTGGTTTAATAACAATGCCTTATAGAAATTACATTCCAGAAATTTGGTTCCATCTATGTTGGTTTCTATGCAGTTTACGGAAAATATCCCAGAAAGCCATTCTGTCATGGAAAGGTCTGGCTTCAAGGCTTAGGTCCGAATCTAGATTGAGGTAAGGCTGTGTAGTTCTCGTTATAGGTTCCCATTTAACTGGAAGTAGCTCTGAAGTTGCAGGTGTTGGGTTTCTGAAAACAAAGAGTAATATTTACAATAGCTATAATAATGCCTGGCATGACAGTGCAAAGAAAAAAAATACATAGTTAAGAAATGCTATACGAAACTAATGAGATAAACTTTTTGGACGGACATGAGAATAATTTTACCTCCGGATGCTGATATGAGAATATTACAAAAATGTTATTTACTTTCTTCACAATTCAGATTTTGTTGTAGATTTACTTAAATTAATAATTAAGAACCAACTGCCTCGTTGGCCGAGTGGTCGCAAGTGCGACTGCCGGGCAAGGGGTCTCGGGTTCGATTCCCGGGTCGAGCAAAGTTTTACTGGGTTTTTAAAAATCTCAGTAGTAGCACGGAGTCTGGAAATGTGCCCAGTATATGGCAATAAGCTCACGCCCTATTACATGGGACTCATAACATAAATAGTGAAAAGTGGGTGTTACATTTGTACAGTGACATTAAGTGCCAAAATGTGCACTTCTGCCTACCCCTTAGGGGATAAAAAGGCGTGATGTTATGTTATGTAATAATTAAGAACTTGAATCAATAATTCATTTCAACATAAAATTAAGAAGAGAAAAATAAAAACCATACCCATATTTAGCGAAATTCGTCCATAACGTTGTTATTCTATCAATCATGATTTGATCCTCAGGAGTAATATCACCAGTGAGTTCATCGCTATCAAACAAATATCCAAGTTCATCAGCTCGAACTGCTCCTGTCGCATTCACGTTCAACCTTAACGTTATCACATTCCTATCACCACTGTAGGAGAAAATATATCTGTACACAGTTCTAGCCCCAATTTCCACAAGTCTATCTGCCATTTTCTCAGTAGGATGGTTAAAAAATATATCTGATGCAAAATTTGTTATTTCGACCTTTGTACTTTCACCTGCTTTGTCATCTCCTATATAAAAGTGTTTGATGTCATCCAAGACTTCTTCTACATTATCACCCAAGTCAAATATAGTCCGAACTACATTAAGACTATAGTCCAAAAATCCCTCAACCTCATCATTAGCGTATCCCATATGCATTTCATTGGCAGAGTTACCAAATATAACTTGTACAGTTCTTAGTTTAGTCGATCTTATGTTCATGGGGTAATCCGTAATAAAATGTTCAACACCTTCGATGTTCTTCTCAACACAAGGTATTGTTACTGGCGTGCTCTCCAGGGTCATAAAGTTTGTTAATTTCAGTCCATGAGCTAATTCAACTAATTTATGAGGATTAACAGATGAGAGGAAAGTAAGAGCTTCCGATATATCTTCGGTAAAGAAACCTAAACCTCTTGCAAGTCTTATAGGTACTGTATTGTCAGGTTCTCCTAACACCCATGGACTTACAGCAGGACCACTTTGAATAATGGCTTTCTGGAACAAAGGTTCGTATGAAGATAATAGATGCAGATTTATTGACATGCCACCGGAACTT